ATTTCTTTAATTTTCCTTTTTTTCATCTGAAATTTTTTTTAACATTTTGGTGAGATTTTTCTAATGAAAATGAGATCAAACACGATATAATTTGAACAACATTTACTTATTAATACTTATTGAGTAATTAATTTAATGTCGGCCTACCTCCACGTAAAAAAAAAATGTAGGACCGATTCTACAAGTGTCAGTCAAATGTAGGGCCGATTCTCCAACTGGCAGTCAAACGGTAGGCCGACTCTATGTAATGTGTGACAGTGAACGTGTTAATAAGTAAATGTTGTTCAAATTATGTCGTGTTTGATGTCATTTTCATCAGAAAAATCTCATCAATATGTTAAGAAAAATTTCGGGATAAAAAAACGTAAAATTAAAAAAGTTGGTATTTAAATCGCTTGGTTGCCTCGACTCACGTTTCATGCTTATCTTTTATTCGCTGTTCTTGTCTACGTTCGGCAAACTACAAAGGCGGGCGCGAGGCTCGAAAACGTAGTCCCTGACTCTACGAGTGTCAGGTTTAGCTTCCTTGCGGTCTGACAATTGTGGAGAATATACTGTAGTCACCTAATCAGACAGCTCCACCGAAACGAGCTTACGTCTACGAGCTTGAAGATTTTCGTTCGAACGAACGCGGTTTCATTTCTCCGTCGTATTCAAACGTCGAAAGACCACCACCGCTATTCTCTTCGTTTGCATACCGACCGATCCCGAGTTGGAAAAGATGTACCTATCGTCTATAAGCAAAATGGAAAGTGATAGCAAAATTTGTGCAACGCAATAATGTAATAAGCACCTACGATTATTTTTATTATGCTGATTAATACCTTACATATATGTATATATACATCGTTCTATATATCACATTTGTCAATTTGTCGCGTAAACATTTTCTTCTTACAAAGGCGTTCTTGTACAAAGTGGCCAGCTCTGCGTAAAATATCTGTTATCGAACGTAATTAAACACCACTAAAGTTACGAATTGTGAAGGATTTTGTTGAAAGCGTTGTAAGATGTTTCCAAGTCGAAGATCAGTTGTCTGACTTGAGTGTCGGACAATTCATCGGACGCGGACATGTTGTTGAGAGTTTGCAGCCATTCCGCCACCTTCTCTTTACCGTCGAAATCGCTCGGCAGTATGCTTAGCCGGTTCATAGTGTCCATTAAATCCCTTAAGTCTGGATGCAGTTGATCCATGGCTTTGATCTCGAGTCGCAGTTTGTCCATTAACGTGATGAACAAAGAAACAATGTCCGCGATGCATTTCGACGTATTGCCTTTGTCGTCCTTTATCGTGATCGGCCTGTCCTCCTTGATCCTTTCCAGCGCAGCTGGGCAATCTAATCTAAACGCTCTGGCGAACGCGTCTATCGTGGGAAACTGATCGCTTTGCACCTGAACGAGCAAAAAGTAGAGTTACGCGGAATTTCCAACAAACGAATTAAATGTTGTACCTGCTTGAAAGCTGCTCTGTATTGCACCAACAATTTGCTACACGCTGCCGTGTATTCTTTTGGAGTTACACAATCTCTGATATACGCTTTTTCGAGATGTTGCAGCGTGTTCACAACTGCGTACAAATCTGCTTGATTGTCGTGCTTTTCTCTTTCCCGGGCATTCTTGTACAGTTTCACTTCCTCGTAAAGTTCCGGACGATCTTGAGCTATCGACATTCTCGCTTGCTGCTGAAAGGAGATACGTATTTAGAAGATAAAATAACGGGTGTTATGGTTACAAGCTAGGTTAGGTTCAGAGTAAACGACAAATCAACTGTCGATAACGAACGAGTAACTTGGAAAGAAAAGAAATTAAATGCAACAAATATAGAATTACTAAGGAAATTGTTACATTTCAATCGAACGAATTATAGGATAGAAATGGAAAATTCAACGAAACGTCAAATGACAAGATGACAACAACAAGGCGATACGAAGGTACAACGTTGAAGAGACGACGGTGTGGAAAATGAACGCTTTCTTACGAGCCTCTTATGATTTTCTTCTCTTAATTTTCCGAAGAATTAAGATTTGCACAAATATAGTAGCACTGTACGTGAAAGGGAAAAGCCTTTAAACGTTGACACACGACCAACGAAGGTAAACGACGAGGAAAAGCAACTGCAGCAGCCATCTGTAGGATCCGATTGAAAATGCTTAAAGAAACGCGACGATTCTACATTACCAGGAAGAACGTCTGTGGGAAGGAAACGGAAACGTCAGTTTCAATTGCTGAACGATTTATTTGAGTAAATTTACAATAGATAACATCATTTACAAAGATAGCCTATATTACAATTTCTCGTATAATTTATGCTTAATTAACAAACAACTTCTCGTAACGGCATTACTAAAGCTACAGTTGAGAAGCTAGCTTAACAAGGAACAAACAGCTACAACAAAAATTCAATCTTATCTGTGAGAAAAGTTTACGACGATTCGGCAAATAATTTTTCGATAACGTTAGGCTTGTTAAATCGATCGTCACAAGTCGAAATCATTTTGTTGGCATTTATACAGGAACAATGAAATTCTTCAACGATCAACGGTTGTTTAACGCGATTTACATTTACTTGGTAGGGTTGTACGTTTTCCTCGTTGCCAGGTACAACGCGTATATAAATTACGTTAAGTATCGATTCTCGATCGTCTAAAGTTTCCCAAGGAGGAAAAATTTGTACCAGACCTTCGGATCTCATTTGAATCCTACCTACTATATCAGGAACCGTCATAATTTTGATATCTTTGGTCTTTTTCCGGGGTAATAAATCGTGTGGATCTTGAATCGCGATTCCTTCCAAAAATTGTCTGTTGAAGCGAGTTGTGCAAGTTCGCACGTACACGGTAACGCATGTTACCGGTGGTGTATCGTGTTCTACAGTCTGTTTCAATTGATGCCTCCATATACGTACAAACGACACTTGCCTGTTAATCGTTGACTGCAATTTTTCCAACAAACTTCCCCTGTAAAACAAAAACACGGGATTATTATCGGGCTAAAGTAGGCCGATATAAAGTACCGCGTACGTTCAATGTAATCGAACGATCAGAATTACCTTTTCGATTTCTTCCTTTTCTTTCCCGAGTCTAGGAGGGAGGTTGTTGTTAACTGCATCGAGGAATCTACGTAGATTCTTCGCGGCGATGTTTCCGTGCTAATAATAATTCCAGTCTGGCTGGATTTATTATTCGTGCGATTGGTAAGTTTCGTCGAAGCCTGAGAAATCTTTTGGGAAGATTGCACGCAAGGAAAGGTAAATCGAGGCCGTTCTGCATCGGAGAAAAACGTTCGATCGGAATCTTTGTTGGAGGTTTGCGAACGTATCGAAGAAGGTATAGAAGCGAGAAGTAAGTGGCGCGTCGAACCGTGATTACGACTTTTAGCAACGAGAGCCGCATCTTGCGTATCCGCGTCTTCTATCTCATCGCTGAATTCCTTCTCGGTATCGTTGTTCGTGCCTGGAACATCTTTGCGATTACGTCCATCTGGAGTTGCTGGATTCAATTTACATTTTTACTCTACCTTTTACGTCCTTTGGGCTATCCTGGATATTTAATTTAGCTTTAGATCCGGACGAATCCAATCTCGTCGAGTCTTCCGAAATCTTCCAGTCTTTACTTGCGTACAATTTTAGACGATCATTCTCAAAAGCCGTGTCTTCTACTGTTCGATCGGTAAAACCCTTCTCGATACCTTTTACATCCTGCGGACTATCCTCGATATTTAATTTTCCTTTAGATCCGGGCGAATCCGATCCTACGGAGTCTTCCGAAATCTTCCAGTCTTTACTCGTGCAAGATTTTACACGCTCATTTGCAAAAGAATCCTCTGATTTTTTTATCGAGAAACGTCGCTTTACGGTTTGCACTTTGATCTCTCTACCGTATTCTTTATTCTTGGAACCAGAGAATGCTGTAGGATTTATATTTGAATCTGTAAAGGTACTTTCCACTTGATCAGAAATTGCTACATTTTTCTCCCATATCTTCTTTCGTCTTGTTTCATAAAACTGAGAATTTCTGTCTAAAATAGGGGATCCTTTTTCTCTGTGTCTTCCCTTGGAACAAATCAAGGGAGATGTTGCGTTAGTTTTGATATTTTTATTATCAATTTGATCCAAAGCCTTCCTATCTGAATCCTCCCCGTTCAATTTTCTTCGCTTCCTTTTGTAAGAATAAGAAGAAGTTGAATTAAGTATAGGGGAGCTTGGTGCGTCGAGTGTTCTAGAAGAAAAGCTAACAGAATTAGGAGAAAACAAATTCCTTCTAATATTTTCCTTTCCACAGTTACCGTCCATCCTTGTACGTTTATTGCAGCGAATGGAGGAGTGAAAAGATCGTTTGCCTGATAGGTTTATCGAGTGGTTAGAACGCGTGCGTTCAGCTTTCTCTCTAGTTCGTTTGCGTCGGTCGCCGAAAACCGGGGACGTTTTCGTCGTCTCGGTAAGAGCGGGTAAGCCGAGTACGGGAGACGAGCGAGGTGTTTCCTCGAAATTGTGAAAAACGTCGTTGTGAGTTTCGATCCATTTGCGTACGAAATCACCCTTTTCCGTGCACGGTATACTTGCCACGTTCCCGTCGATTAACAACGCACCGTCTTTTTGCCCGTGAAATTGCTTCACGACGTTTAGGGTTAGAATCGATTGGCCGAAATTCAGTTTCCTCACGTGACTTGGCTTTCTCGATTCGTGGCTCGTGCTTTCACTCTCGCTGTACATTTTTCCGTTGTTCTCGTCGAACGTTTCACCGAACAGAAGAAAGACTCGGAGAGTAGGAATTTTCGATACGGATTCATGGTAACATTTTCAGGTTACGCGTAGTATAAATACGCAACGTGCGTACACTTTGACCGCCATATTGTATTGCCATGGAAACGCGTCTGAAGTAGGATCGTGCGTAGTTGTAACCGAGGGAAATTTCTATCGCTCGAAATGCGCACTAGTTCGCTAATCACGTAAAACGCATAATTAAAATACGGCGATAAATGCGATTGAAACGTAGGCAACGAACTGGCGCGAAAACGTCAGACGAATACTCGTTAGGAGTACTTACCGTTTGGCGAAAGTAATTTTCGTAGATCCAACACAAGCCCTTTTCTTTTTACATTGGAGGACGAATAGGTAGAAACGGCGATTTCTGCGGATCGTCTGCGGATATAATC